AGGATAAGCTTACCGGTTTCCATCATTGAACAGCCGGTCCTCGTGTCTATGTGGCTTTCGCCGTCTGCTGTTCATCACACGAAAGTGTGTAATAATAATATGTGAATGACTGAACAAAATTTCCCTGGAAGCATACGACCGGTTTCGCGGGCCTTGCCGCTCGTCAGGCATGCGTATCCGGTAATCTTTTGTCAGTTCATTNCAAAAGATAATAATCAAAACCGACGCGTGAGAGCGCAGGGTAATGGTTGTACAAACTGAACTGAACTATATATAGGGGGTGAAATTAGTTCATTACTGCATATTCTGTTTTTTGTGAAAGCGAGCAGATCATTTCCCGGTGGGAGAAACTGACTGTTAGTCCCATCTCTGAAAATAACTCTTTGACACTTGTAGAGCACCCTTATGTTTACCAACCACCGGTGTTCTTGGATATTCGCGCAGTATTCAACTCCATACACAGGACCGCACTATGGAGATGCAGTATCAGAGAAGTATGTGTCGGTCCTCTTAGTGTTGTGTCCTCATAACCGCAGATCGAGCTAGGTCCTATGGCCAAGTTTTTGCACACTGCCGATTGTGGAGGGGTGCAACAAAGTACCTTAAATTCCCATTCCTATTCAAGTTTGCCACAGAGGGTGTTCTGCAAGACGTGTTGCCCGGTCTAGCGAACGGTGGAGTTGAACACCTTACAGGAAAGAGCTATTGAGTCAGAATATACTGATGACATCGCCATGTTAGATACAGTCCAACACGCTTTAAATTGCTAAGCGATGGAGATATCCACAAATGGTAGTAGTTTTGCATCATTTAAAGTGCTTGAATAAGACTGTCAGGAGCTTACCAATCATATTATTATTTGAAACACTGGGTCCGCTTCATTCAACGCATCAAGACCGAAAGAATACACACACACATGTCGCGAGATGATGTCAACACTTCGTTTAATCTTTTCAACCGCTGACGTAAAACACACAGGCACATTTATAGCATATTGGATTTGTAAATCCTAGTTGACCTGTTCTTTTTTTAATTCCAAAATAGCCCATGTCTATCTAGACATACTATAATTGTTGCTGCATTGGCATCATGCGCGTGAAATATGCGATACAAGTGTAATATCATCGCGAATTAAGCCAAATGTCTGGTCAGAAAAACTGGACAGAAATTGTTCGGTATGATTTGAAAGGGTAGAAAACCACGGAATCAGAGTCAGATGGATGAGTGGATAAAACAGCAGCAACATCACGACCGGAAAATTGGGAAAAAGATGCGAACCGAAATCGCTTCGGAAGCATTGCCTGTCGCACGAGAAAATAAGGTAGATATACGTATGCGGAAACGGATTGAGGGATCCAGGGAAAAACAGAAGAGACCAAATACTGGACACCTTTTCAAGGATTACACATCTACTGTTGCTAAACAACGATTTGTCCCCGTTCATGGGCATTCAGAAATTCACAGGGTAATAAATGAATCATCACTATCATCATCATCATTGTCGAACAGCGAGATACAGTGAAGCAAACTTTACTGATCGCTGTCAAACTCACAATGTACACAAATCAAGTGACAAAGCACACAAGATGGAGAGGGACTGGGTCTAATTGGACAAAGTCAAAACGTTTTATTATGGGCGATTTACCAAAGATAAAGCTTATCAGGATTCTCACAGAATCTTTTGAATAACTTCACAAAGAGAAAATAATGATGATAATAATGTAGGTGATCACTCAAGGATGTTGAAATTTCAAGTGTTCCAATGCTTTATCAAGTTGCGATTTAAACAATTCAACTGTAGGATCATACACTACATCAGAAGGGAGAGAATTCCATAAGCCGCACACTCTGATTGCAAACGAGTGATGCCGGCAATCAAGGTGGCTGTTCTGGGTCTTCATCTTTAGTGGATGTCCCCTGAGGTGATCATTATGAGATAAAGTCAGCAGAGAACGGTAAGGGTGGTTGGTTGATTCAGTATGTGATATGCCAAGATTAGGTCCCCTCGAAGTCGGCGGTATTGGGATGAGTGGAGTCCCAATATTTACAGTCTTTCGGAGTGTCTTATCATATATACCTTTTACCAATTTCGGACGGGGGAGGGGCACAGAAAGTGAACCTCTACGGTCAAGACACAGAGTACCCAATTGAACTGTGCATACATGCCGTGTCAAGAATTTAGATCTGGCAAGAATCAGTGATAAAACAAAATTGGTTGGGATAATTACTCAAAACTTAGCAATAAAACTAAGTCCTTACCGGAATGATCCCTTCTTCTTGGGGATGAGCTGTTTGAATTGTCCTAAAGTGATTTCTGAAGCGGGCCACAGACTCCTATAAGGCACCGGGTCGTCACCCAAATAGTACCCGATTACCAGGGTATTCGGACTGCTGTTGGAACTGGGAGAGCTGGCAGGTAATCCGGGAGTCGAGGTGGAGATAGCCGACGTGATCGAGGATGAGGTGGAATGCTGCGTAGTGCTGACCGTTGTCACGGCTGTCGCAGTGGTGGACGTGGCACACGCCACTCCTGCAGCAGCGGCTGCTTGGAGTGGTGTATGTGAAGATGTGTCACCAAGCGACTGAGGAGCCAAGGTGGAAGCAATTGGAGGTGCCGGACCGGATGTTGCTCTGTCCGAGGGAAATGAGAGGCTGAGCAAAGCGTTCAGCTCAGCCGCTTCCGAGGCACGACCGTGTTCTAATTCAGCAGATGACGGGGACGAACCCGAACCACAGCCGAATCCAGAACCAGAACCCGAGGCGGATTTGGATGGTGCATCTTTTTGGTTATCTGCGGGTTGAAGCTCAGTCACTGGGTTGGACTTGGCAACTTGAACGTTTGAAGGTTCATTGGGTCTGAGGGATTGGGGAGAACAAAGAGGGAGACGACGATCAGCATATCACAGAGTAACTACGACAGACAAATGGTAGGAACCAGAACCGCCGCACGAAAATGTCTGGTGATTGTTCGTACAAAGTGAAACTGAAATTCGGACACCTGAGTTGTCAGTGAGATGACTAAACGAATGAACCACATAGAATATGCAGTAGTTACCTATTCAGTCTGATGCTTTCAAGTAAGGACGAGGTACAGCTTGAGAATGGAAACCAGGTTCGGTTCAGTTTCAGTTTGGACAACCATTAACCATGCACTTTCGTGCGAGGGTGTTGGTTGCTGTCTTTTGGCTGCCCATTTGTATGAACAGAAGGAGGAAGATAAAGTTGAAACAAATAGTAAATGAAGAATTTCAGTGGATGAAGGATTTCAAGAAATTGAGATGCACGAATGACACTGTTTACGACACTGTCACATCACTGAGTGTCTCTAATAATCGGTTACAATCATCTCGAAGTTCCCAGCCAGGTGAAGAAAAACGATCCGTGGAACTTTACACTACAGGTCGTGACAGAGTCAGCTGATAGGGAAGTTAAACAAAAATCCTAACGAAGAGAAAGGGTAAGTTTGAGAATTGTATCGAATGAAATGAAAATCATTTGCTGTGCTTAGTGCAGCACGATGCATTGGAACCCTGAACGCTGCATTTATCCGTGGTAGTTTCGGTTACTGCCTTAACGTGATCCATTCAGATAAAACAGAAAAGGGAAGTTCAGAATGCTGGAGGCAATACATAATGCAGTTAAACCGAAATCGCAAAGAAGTTGAGTGGATACACAAGTAACACTGTTTACGACACGCAACCGCATCACTCAGTGTCTTTAACCAGTGATTGCATTGATCCCGAGGTTGCCAACGGGGAAGCATACCACAACCCATATATCTAAGTCCCCCATTCAGGGTTTTAATACCCTCATGCCAGGATTTGGTGTGACCTGCTTACACCTTCCACCATCGATTACCTGCCTCGGAAAATATCACGAGCTACGGAAGCTTATCGCATGACGTGAGAACTTACGCTACAGCAGACGTATTCTATGAAGTTTGAGCGCGTGCTCTAGTTTGCAACGGCAATTAGTCTAGAAATCTGCATCCAACTTCGTCACTGCTCATCTAGTTGCCCCAACAGAATCCAACACCGTTCCTGTAATTGACATGAATCAGCACCGTACAGGAGAACTACCACTCCGGATGATATTTATCAGTTTGCATACAAACATAACCGCTCCACATTAGATGTCATTTCTTCTTTAGTTCATTTTATCTGTAAATCCCTTAACGAGAAAGCTAAATATGTACACTGTGCGTTTCTGGACTATTCTTCCGCTTGCGACTCTGTGTCCCGTTCTCTTTTGCTAAACAAGCTTCAATCCTTTGGCTGTCCCGGTTCTGTTCTTGAATGGCTTGCTGATTCCTTTTCGCAAAGATATCAGTATGTCAAATTGGGATGAAGACAGTAAACCGCATCACTCAATAGTTCTGGTGTACTTCAAGGTGCCGTCCTATCAACCTATCTTTTTGAAACTTATATCAGTGATTTGCGTATTACTGCCTCTGTACGACATTTTAAGTATGCTGATGATACCGCCACTTTTGTTTCCGCATCTAACCAATCAAAACTGGTTGAATATAACACAAACTCTTCTCACCCCGTTTCGCATTCGACTTCATCCAGTCTTAATCTTAATCTCGAAAAATGCCTTGAATGCATTTTTACTCTAAACCGTGTCTCATCTCCCTCCGACAATGTAAAGATTCACAGAAAGCCGATGAGCAGGGTCAACCATATGAAGTACTTAGGTTTCACACTTCAAAGTAACCTTCGTTGGTCCTTACATACCCAAACTGTTGCTCGAAAATTGAAAAGTCTCTCTTATCAGATAAGAAGACTGCACCACTTCTGTTCTGATTTGTCGGTGATGGACGCTTTGGTTCAACAATGTTTCCTCCCTGTACCCCTGTACTGCTCCCCTGTAATTTTGCCCGGTTTGCTGAAGGCTGATTTCAAGTTACTGAGGCGTAGCCTCTCAATGATCAGCTGTGTCTCTCAAATTCCGTTCTGTTCTAATTGGCAATGTGTGTAATGTCCATGTTGATACGTGCTTGAAGTTTGCGGACAATATTCTATCTGATTGCACCCTTCCTATACATACTGAAGTGTTTGCATGCAAATCCCACTCCTGCACCCGTTCCAAGTATAAACTTATCCCTTCTCGCATATCCGCATACAGAAACTCTTTGGTACCCTATCTTGGCCGGATACTGACCGACAAATTTTTGTTCTGAGCTTTCTAATGTAATGAACTCATATTTTTGTACGTTTTATGTCCCACTTTTTCATCAGGTTTGTAACGGTTGTCTATTTTTTTGGCCGAAAGCTTGTATATAGCTCGCTAAAGCATCAATACAATAGAATACAATAGCCAAACAGCTGCCGTATACACTCAACCGTGAACCGATAAAAGCATGTTCCGCCAAGAAAGCCATAGATATCTCAAGTTGTCAAGCATACGTTGTATGCATGCCGATACCTAATATATATATAATGCGTCCACCACATCAGACGCAACTGCCTAAAAGTTTACATTTTTTTTATTGGTTCCCCAGTTTCGGCGATGGACGCAACCGATCTCGTACAGGAAATTTACAATTTGGAGATGCAAAATA